CAGAAAGACTCAGCCTGCGCACGCAGCGACACGCTCCTGTCACAGCAGTCTCTCAGGAGGTGAGTTTAGTCACTCACACAGAGTTGGACAGATCTGTTCAATAACAACATTCTGAACATATATTTAACATAAAGTTAGGTTTTACAGACCAAAGTCTATGGTAGTTCAGGTGCAAAGTGCAGGAGGAGAGGAGAAGTCAGGACTGATCRCATCGCTGCAGCAACTCCAGTCGAGCCGGCCCGCTGCTTCAACCAAACTTGCTCTCAATGAAAGTCCCGCCCTGCTCTGCTCTGATTGGACATAACGGCTCTGGACTTCATCTGATTTGTTGAAGGCAGTGTCCATTTAATCCTTATATCAGGGTCCCGCTGTGGCGCACCAAATAACGATCCATTCACACCAGTGCAGCTGGATTCTTTTTTATTTTTATTTTTTTAAGAAATCAGGTCGCATTTGTGACCAAACTGGTTGCACTCTAGAGCCCTGCTAACTGTTGTTTTGCCAGCCAACCAGGTACAATCTTAGGTACGCAAGAGAGCTTTATGACGTTACATCTGGTGCGCTTTTTCCTTTTTTGACCGCGCATGCGTACCTGCGCATGTGCACCTCTGTATATAATGTTTGCCAAAGATATGAGATGATTTTATCTAATAATTTGCTTTTTTGAAGAAGACAAGTTAAAAATATTAAATTTACTCAGGTTGCAGTCAATGGGAGTTCAAAGCTTTTAAAGTAACTTGTTTCAAGCACTTTGTGGTTAGGTTAAAATTTTCATGAAGGCTCAGCTTTTAATATAAATATTACAGATCCTGGCCAAAATAAGTGGTCAAATTAATTAATCAAATAAATTGTTAGATAAGTCACTAGAACTTTTTGCATAATCATCTTTCTCTAAGAAAGCATGAATAAAAGAAGGCAGTAAACTTGCATAATAAAAATCAAAATTAGCAGTATTTGATCAGTATCAATCAACACTGTTTTGCCATCTCTTTTTCCATCTAAAGGTTATTCTTCAATCCCGAGACTACAATGCTTTGTCAATGAGTGTGATGGCCTTTGTGGCCATGATCTACCCACTAGAATACATGTTCCCTGTTATCCCCTTACTGCCAACATGTATGGCTTCTGCTGAACAGGTAAGTTCTGTAGTTTCATTTATTATATTTTGATTCAGCAAGTTCTTTCTTCACCCAATTCCAATACTTCCCAGCATGAAAACATCATGTGCTATTTTAAAATCAGATTTGTGATTAACTGATATGTTTTCTTCTCATCACAGCTTCTCCTTGCTCCCACTCCCTACATGATAGGAGTGCCTGCCAGCTTCTTTCTCTACAAATCGGATTTCAAAATGCCAGATGATGTTTGGCTTGTTGACCTTGACAGTAGCAAGGTGTGTTTATCATCACACAGTCCTGCACTTTTTTTGTTTTTGCCTAGACCAGAATAAAGGTTGACCTGAGAGACTGTTTTACTATGTTAGAATGGTAATTCTGGAGATATGGCCTTTTAAAAAATGTATTGTTTTTGTTTCTAATTAACTGTAAATAACCATTTTGGTCTGCAGGTTATAGCACCTACCAATGCAGAGATTCTGCCACCTCTTCCAGAGCCCGAAGCAGGCGAGCTCAAGAAACATCTAAAGCAGGTAATGTGGGTTTGTGTGATAAGTCTTACTTTTTGTTGTAAAGTTTAAATGATTCTGCTGCATTGTGGTTGCCCAAACCACAAGGACTACTGGCATGGATGAGAACTGTGAGTTCACCACACTTTTGTGTAAATGTTAAAATTCTCTTTCAGCAGTTTGGAGAGTAGGTGCCTCCTTCATCAGCAGAGTTGTATGTATTGTAGATGAGCGTGAGAGCATTGGAAACTGGTTTTGTAGTGCACTAACATGTTTTTATATTTCTTTTTGTCTTTTTTGTTGCATGCTCTAGCTTTTGGAGGTAATGTCATGTTAGATCTGAAGCAAGATCTTTAATGTTAGAAAAGACAAACATTTTTCCTGTAGCCCAGTAAAGTAGCATAATATCAAAATCTGGTTCTGATTCAATAAACACTACACTGTTTTGTACTTATGCACACTGTAACCACTCCTCAAGTGAATAAGTGTCATGAGTATTTATATTACTTGGCCTTTACCCCATTTAATTATTGCTTTAAAAATACATGACTAGCTGCTATTGAATGCTGATATTAGCTACAATAGATGCTACAGTTCAGTAATTTTCTAAACTGTATTTTTTGGCAAATTAATGTATTTGCCATTAGTTACCTAAACAATTCAATTCAGCTGGTCAGGAGGACTCGGTACATTAGGCAGCCAGGTCAAGAGGACTTACGACCAGTACGACTCCCTCAGGTWTTTGTATACTGCGTCTAGTCAGGAGACCAGAACCCAGCTTGCTGCTAAGATTCTCTTCTTTCAAAGTAAAAAGTTCATAATGGAGCTTCAGGCTGGCGTTACCTTAGCTCAAGACAAAAGACTTTGTCTCATTAGTACTTGAGATAAAAATCTTTGTCGGGCTGCTCTTCCCGAAGGAAGATCAGCTGAGACRAAAAATGGCTGTTTCTCGTCTTATTTCTCTCTCTCAGACTGTCCGAATCAGGTTCGTGTGTTAGCATTCTAAAGAGGAGCAGCTAAATGACCTTGAGGGTTAGCAAGAAGCAAGAATGTTTAGTCTCTCATGTGTCCTTTTTAAAGAAAGAGTTACTTTGGTTGCTCAGGTTCTCTTTCATGCCATTTGTTTCATGCCTCACATTAGGAACGCGCTCGCACTGACCGCATCCGAAGCTCTCATGTTATTTCTAATCAGGAAAGGCAGAGTCTATCCCCTTTTATAGGACTGTAGCTGCACAGTTTATTCAAAATGTTTTCCTTTTCCTTGCAATCTCAGAGCAAGCAGGGTGACTTGGTGAGACATACACTCACACTACTCACAAATTACGGTTTACACAAGTAACCTGTAGTTTTCTTTCATAGCATTCGTTTTACGTCTCACATTGGGGACAAAAAATATACTGAGTCATAGTTCCTGAATTTTCCAGAGATAAATTTWTGGAAGATGGGTGTACTGATAAAGCATGACTTTCACCTATATGCTTGGCAGAGACAAATGCCAGCAAAAGGGCTGTTCGTAGAGCTACTAACTTTAATTCCACCTGATCCAGAGACTTTAAAGTGAGAGCATCAGCACCAGGGGTAGATCCTATAAAGGAGGCATAGGTTTTGAGACATGGAGTTTTCTGTGAGCCTCTCAGCCCTCCATCCCTGCACCGGATTGCCTGTGCCTGATAAAGTAGGTTTTGCAACTGGACCTAAGGGCTATGGAGACGGGTCATAATCCTTGTCGTTGTCTGAGAAGGGCAGCTCCAACTCTGCAACCAATGGTTTGCAGTTTTCTGTCAATGTGAAGTCAAGGGAGCTTGATGTAAGACYCTGCTTGATCATTCCGGGTGACAGTGGGTCAGCAGTGTCAAAGATTTTGAAACGTTGTATTGYGGCTCCTTGTTCGGTAGCTTGTGCAGTGGGAGCATTGCAACTAGGACAGCCAAGGCCACAGGAACTGGTTGGAACTTCTGCTCATTGTGAGAAGAGGTTTTTGAATAAACTGTCAGAGCAGCGACAACCCTTTTTAACCTCTTGAGCCCCATGCCCTTGGTACCGGGGGCAAAACATTTTTTTCAGTTTTTTATTTCTTTTAAGTTCTTCAGTTGAACCTGGACATGTTTGGTATCAAAACAAACTAAGAATCTTGGCTAAAAGCTCATGGAAACTGTTTTTACATTCACCAAACCTACTTCAAATGTCAAACAGTTGAATCAGAAAGTAAACAAACTGTACATAATGGCCTCATTGCAAATCTGTAAAGGAAAAAAAAATGCCATTATTTTTTAAAGCAAGTCAAATTAGATACCTAAATATGTAATAAAGTGTGTTGATAGTTTTTTTACTTGATTTTGAGGGAATGTGGTCCAACTGAAGTCAAGTATAATTTGTCATTATTTTATATAATATATATGGTGACAAATAAACGTTTGGATATTTTTTTTAAATCAACAAACATTCAATAAGTATTTTAAGGCATGTAAGAAAAATAAATAACTTTTAGATGTAAAAACTTAAGTTTTCGTAACATTTATTAATGGAACCATCATGGTCTGTCCTGTGCAGAAAGACAAAACACTAAATTATTTTTTTTACTAAAAGCTCTAACTTTGCTCCATTTCATTTTAGCAGCATGAATCTTTGCACAGGTAATGTCCACAAGTGGATTTATGGTTTCCAAGAGTTTTTAGCTTTCTTCATTATTGTTTTAAATGGGTTATACTGTATACCGTCTAATGAAAAAATCATTCAGACAAGAGTGAAAAAATATATATATATTCCATCCCCAATATGTCTAAAACCACAGCAGCTGTTTTAATACCTACACTTCTGATGAAATCTCCCAAGTKTTAGCTTTATTTTGATACTACCAATATTATTTAAGTAGAGTTTGTAAATGCTGAGATACTCAGTTACATTTCGGCATGGGATTTTGAGAAAAAACGTGAAGAAAAGCCCTTGGGGCTGAAGAGGTTAAATAGAGACAGACCCTACGTTCTCTGCCATGGACAGGTTTATTTTCAGCCACTTCTGACTGGCATAATGCAATAGGAAGTTCTGATGAAGTCACACCAAGAGTGTTCCTGATGTAACACATGCAACTAATACTTATCTAAGTTAATAAAATAAATACGCAAGTGGATGTTTTCTTCTAAAATTCACATGCAACAAATTCCAGTAGTTATAAGTTGGTTACATACACCTTGAATCAGAGCCAGTTTGTCAGCCTTGTGTGGTTAGCAGCTCTTTCCTGGTGTGAGTGTGTGAGAAGCTGGTTTGTAGGAGTGTGCAAAGCCTTGGTTTTGCTGGTGTATATTTGGAAACAAGCTCACAATGTTCATATGTGAATGTAGAAAATGTCACTGAGGATAGTCTACTGATTTTTTTATTTATTTATTTTTTATATTTTGTGTTCTGATTCCACTGCATTCTGCTGTGGAATCTGAGAGTCTGAAAATACTTGCACGTTACACTGCACCATTTAAATAAATCAGTTCTTCAGGTGACTGATTTATTTCCTCTTGCAAGGTTTTGGATTATTTATATTGCTGTTCTCAGGAATTAGACATTAATTTTGTCTTTTTAATTTGCTGTAGATGCTCAAGTGTGCAAGCATTTTGATTTATGTTTCTGAAAAGATCTGCTGTTTTGTACTGTGTCTGTCCTCATCACTCCATTGTAACCACTGGGTTTTCCCAGTTGGTCACCATGGATAGCCATCATGTGTCTTTCAAAGTCTAAACTCTGTTGATTTAAGGTTGTTTTTTGACTAAGTTATCACTTGTTTGTCAGTGTCTTATCATTGTAATCATAAAACATTTCCTGTCAACTTTTTCTCTCTTTCTGTGTCACTTTCTCTAAGTCTCTCAGAACTTACATTCAGTCTGGCAAATTCTTTCCCTCGTGTTTGTCACTGTTCGAAAACAAACAAAAAAACTGTTTTCTTTTCTCCTGTCTTTTTTATTCTAATGTAGAATTTTAAAATTAGACTAACAAAGAGCAACATACCTTTTTATTTTGTGATCTTTTGATCTAATTGACTCACAAATGGATGGCACTAAACATACTTATCTGCTGTCAGCAAAACAAACAAATTGGGAAGTGCTGTTAAAAGGAGACAAAGAAAAATAAAATAAAAGGGCAGTGACTGATCATTCCATCATGTGATGTTCCAGTGTCTGTCACAAAGTTGTCATCACCGGCCTTCATGTGATTCTCCTCGCATCTCTCTTATCCCCTTCCCAGTGTCTGGTTAGATTGACCGTGATCACCCAAAAGCAGATCTTCTCCTCTGAAAATAAGGTTACTCATTTCTCCTCCTGTGGAATGTGTAATGAACATGCACGGATATCCTCTCACTTACATGTTTTTGCCTGTTGTTACTACTTGTCTCTTTTTCCCCAAACTTGAGCAAAACGCATACAGACGTCACAGAATGTTGCCGACCAGTTCTTAACACACTGCTTAGCTCTGGCTTGAGCATGGCTGAATGTCCGTGCATCTATTTTGACATCACTACGTGTTTCTTTCAATCAAAATATTAGAACATTGAAGCTTATATGTATTTGACAAAGTTAACATTCATCCAGATCCAGCAACTAAGCACTCCATTATGCTAAGCTAAACATTAACTCCTGAGACTGCAGCATACATTGTGACTTACTTCCCTTTTATTCCTCCTTTTCAAAGTGACACATGCACAGCTCGCATCAACATGCAGTGAAACTGATCTTTCATGTGTTTTAGAAAATAACAAAAATTGTCTAAACACCTAAAAATTAATAATAATAAACTTGGTCAAGACTATGGTATRTATTWYACTGTATATTAAACAATCTTTTCACATTGTTTTTTAAAACAAATCCAAAGTTTTGAAACTATTTAAATTGTTTACCTCTTTGAAGAGAAAACTCTTAGATAATTTCCCATTCAGTAATTCATAGTTGCATAAGGTGATGCCAGCTGTGGGAGTGGTCCATTGCAGCACTGTTTTTTTTTTCTTTTATCTATAGATCCACTATTTTGTTTTTATTTGTTCCACTGTTGCTTTTTTAGGCCTTGGCCAGTATGAGTTTGAACACACAACCCATTTTGAATCTGGAGAAGTTTCAGGAAGGTCAGGAGATGCCTCTGCTCCCACCAGGACGAGACAAAGCTTCACCTTCATCCACAGAGTTCAACCCTCTTATTTACGGCAATGATGTGGACTCTGTAGATGTCGCCACCAGGCAAGTATTTAGCATTTCTTTCCCCTTAAATGTAACATTTTTACTCTATTTATTTAACTTTAGAATCCCACACATTCTCTTGGACTTTGCAATAGAAATGTAAAAACTAAAACCTTTTTTGTTTTTCAGGGTTGCCATGGTGAGATTCTTCAACTCTCCAAATGTCCTCCAGGGCTTCCAGATGCACACTCGTACGTTGCGTCTYTTTCCCCGACCAGTGGTTGCTTTTCAGTCAACATCTTTTCTTGCCTCTCGGCCACGGCGCACTGGCTTTGCAGATAAGCTTTCTCACACCCAGGCAGTGGAATTTTTCGGAGAGTGGGCTCTCAATCCCACTAACTTGGCCTTTCAGAGGATACACAACAGTAAGACTTGTTTTACCGTAACATTGGTTCGTGTTTATATGAATGTGAAGTTTGTCTGCTTAAATAGATCGCTGGTCCTTTGCACTTATCTGTTCCAGATGTGTATGATCCATCTTTAATTGGAGACAAGCCCAAGTGGTATGCCCACCAACTACAGCCAGTGGTCTACAGAGTCTATGATGGCAGCTCCCAKCTGGTTGAAGCTATGGCTGGACCATTGGAAGATGAAGGAAATGAGTCTGACCCCACAGACAGGTCAGGAAAGATCAAAGCTCTTTTTAAATTTTTTTTATAGTGAAGCTACCAAAGCTAGTTTTGTACAAGAATCATGCAACAAGTAACCAGATTTGACATGGTTGTTCCCAAGAGTCTTCTGAACAGTTCTGATTGGCTATCTAAAAAAAAAAAAAATCCAAGATGATGGCAGTCTTCAAAATGGCTGGCAAAATTATTATTATTATTATTATTATTATTATTATTATTATTATTATTATTATTATTATTATTATTATTATTATTAGTGATTTGAGTTGGACTCAGAAAGGAGACACATGGCAGGTCTGTTGGACCACTCTTTCAGCATCTGCCTTAAATGGTCTTTTTTATGCTCTTGAAAAGGTATTAAAATGTGTTTGTTTACTTCATTTCATTTTCATAACCAGATAGAAAGTACACCAATGTTTGAATGTTTGAATGTGAAGAGAGATCATACAACCACACAACAGCGCTGGTCTGAATGTGAGTTTAATGCTCAAGCTGCATTCGGCAAATCATGCCGGAAATGTTAGCCAATTTAACACCATCTTCAAGACCTGACCCCTCCTATAGTCATTGCATCACTTGGGGGCACCCTATCTGTTCTGTGATTAAGTATCTGCTAAATGTACCTCCTACCATGTGTAGCCATATTTAAAGCCACCCAGACCAGTCTGTACATAAAATCATCATTTTAATCACAAAAATAGTCACACAATAATTTATAAAAATACAGCATTATTCACCTAAGAAAAAACTACAGAATGTGTGGTGCTTTTAAAAATCAGTAAGTAAACAAACCCCAATAAATTTCTTCACTCTTACTAATATGTGTTCCTTGCATAGAATAAGGCTAGTGACTGAAAAAATGTAAAAATTGCCACAAGGATCATTCAGATTGATCAAGTAAACACACATATGATTACTGTGTGGAAATAAGTTTGAAAAAAAGGCAGACATCTTGGATTTTCCAATGGTCAATCATGCAGATTTGACAAAAACCTCAAAGAAAATCCTCATAGCAAATTTGATGCTTTTATCACAATTTGAACCATTTTTCTAACAGGTTAACTTAATCAATTTTCCTCAAAACCATTTAATACATTTCATATTGTCTGACTCCTTGGAAACAAAATATACTATTAATAGACTTTTGCACAGGACTGCATTGATTAGTTTAATTCTCCTGCAGCGGTAGTGACAGTGAAGGATACGATGACTCCAGCTCATCCTATTCCTCACTCGGAGACCTGGTGAGTGAAATGATTCAAGGCGACATCCAGGGGGACACACCGAGTAAGTTGTTTTTGTTGTAATTACAAGACAAAATCATGGACAAAAACTTTTTTTATTTGATGTAAAATTATACTATTTAATCTTAAGGTTTGGATCCTCCTACCCATGCTGCATTGGGAGATGCCAGTGAGGTTGAGTTCCAGGACTTCCAGGATTTAAGGGAGGATCAAAACGTGGAATGTCCACCGATTGGGGACGGTCCTGCGGAACCCTCTGATGGACAACCTCTTCGCTCAAGTTCAAGCACAACTGCAAGCTCAAGTCCTAGCACAATCATCCAGGGTGTCAACCATGTACGTGCTTATCCCATTTAGTGTAAAATGTTACTGCACTTTACAAAACAGTTTAAAAAATTAACTGAATATAAAGTGTGTTAAATGACACTATATAAATACATCTGCATATACACATATTTTCTATTTATCTGGGCATTATTGTTTCTAGGAGCAAGGGGACATGCTTGAGATTGAAGCCTCAGCAAGCGCTGCTTTTCAAAACCCTGTTCCTGGGCTCGGACTCAACAATCAGCCGTTCCTCAGACCACCTGCAGACACAGATCTGGTGGAGTCCACCAACAAAAAGCAAGAGTATGACAACCCGTACTTTGAGCCTCAGTATGGCTTTCCTTCCGAGGATGACCCAGATGCAGAAGAGCAAGTGGAAACGTACACCCCTCGGTTCAACCAGAACCTCAATGGCAACAAGTGTGTTAAACTTATTGCATCATCATCATCACACATGAGATTTCTGCTTGGCCATGCAATGTTTTTGTCATGTTTTTGAATCTTTGGTGATGTTATACGGCTTGAATGCTTGAATTCAGTTTTGTGTTTGTGATGCTCAGTAATGCCTTTTGACCTTTTGCCTGCTTTTAGGGCGCCACGACTTTTACGTCCTAGTAGCCTGAGGCTTCCAGGAGAGTCTGATGGAGAGGGAGACTCACGCAACAGCTCGCCAAATTCCACCATTTCCAACAGCAGCAATGATGGATTTGGTGGACTCATGTCTTTTGCTAGTAAGAACATTTGTATGTCTTTATGGAATTATTTTATGGTAATCTGCCAAGGCCCGCATATCCCAGTATTTCTTAATTGACCTAAACCCTATACAGAAATACTTTGCATAAGTTACTATAAATGCCCAAAGGTAATAACACCAAATCTGTAGCTCTAAATTATGACAAGACTGTTTACAGCATGTTTTTTTTTTCTATCATGTTTTATAAAATAACCATTTATTTAAAAACTCCCACTGCTATGACTACTTGTCATAGAAATACAATTTAGGGAATAAATACATTACAAAAGTATGTTTTGAGAAGATTTAGTTAGATTTTGTTTTGCATGTTATACATATTTAATGTATTTTTTCAGATTTTTGTTTTTGTTACTACAGTTGCTTCATCAGCAAATTGTTCAGGAWAATTTAGTTTTACCAAATGTGTTGTGAATAATAAATACTAATCATAATACCSTATTATTTCTTGCCTTTGCCTCCCAGTTGAAGCTAAGTTCAGTGATTRCATTTTTACTCACATTCCAGGCAATCTGTACAAGAACCATGGCACCAGTTTTAGTTTGTCCAATCTTGCACTTCCTAACAAGGCAGCGAGGGAAAAATCAACACCGTTCCCCAGTTTGAAAGGTAAGAGAGCAGCTAATTTAATAAATCTTAGAAGTTCTTTAAAAAATGTGTGTCTTTTTATGTTCCTTTGTTTTTGCTTTTAAATAAACATTAAATGGGWCTTAACAGCATTTGATAGTACACAGTTCTGTGCAGCTATATAAAAGTTCAGCTTGCTAAATTAATTTGTTTGTATCWCTGCTTTATGTTTTTCCAGTAGATATTTAAATATTGAGCATGATTTCTAATTTTTAAACAAACAAAAAAAAGGCTAACGTAGACTAATAAAATACATTTTTAGTCCTTTGGTTAATTAATTTGCTGTTTGTCCTTTTTTTGCCTTTTTTATTTTTCAATGATTTTCTTGGTAAAAAGAATATTTTAATTTTGATGTTGAGGAGGAAATGGAGCACGCAGGTTCGTAAAACTGTTTTTAAAGGTTGACTTTCCACTCAATGGATTACCAAACATACATGGCACTATTTAAAGGAGAATATTGAGGATTTTTTTTTCCTCAAGTGAAAAGAAAATCCACCCCAAATCAGATATTACTTTTATTTCCCTCATTTCTTACATGCTGTTATTAAGGCACAAGTTGTTCCTCTGCATTGTTTCTCTCAAGTCAGTTGCATTTGTTTCTTAACCAGCTCATATTAAGAGGTTTTAAATGAGAGGATGATTTGGTTTTGGATGGATTTTTTTTTCCCACTGAGAGAAAAAAGTAACAAATGGAGAGCATGATGAACTAACTCAATAGCTCTACYTCATGTGGAATAGCTGCCATTAAAAACGTTCTGTTCCTTTGATTGTGGTGTGTTTTTGTTTTTGTCGTTCAGATGTTCCCGACAGCCCGGGTATGTCATGTCTGGTGTGATGCTTAGCCCTGATTAGGAGTTTAGTTAATGTTTGAAAGTGATACACCTATCTTACTCAGTTTAAGCCTAAGATAGAAGGCACACCTTTTATGTACGTTTTTGTATCTTTGTTTTTCTCCCTGTTCCTCTACCATCCACATTTGTGTGAAATCTTTGGAGCTATAGTTGAGATTTCTTCTGTGACTAAAGTTATTGGTGTGGTATCTACTCATCCTTTTTACCACAAGAAGGTAGTGAAGTAGTTATATTTCTGCATAATACTTAAACTTTAACGCAACATTTTAAAGAGATGGTCACAGAAAAATCTGTCTTTAGTGACTGGAAGTTTATCTCCCTCCTGTTTTTTGAGCCTCATGTTTCACCTCGTTCCTCRTTTGGTGATTCTTGTTTCTGAATGTGCTTTTAAAATCAATTACTGTTTTATAAAAATCATTAATTTAGGTATTTTTTTGTGCTTTGTGCTCAAAATAAACTGACTAGAAAATGTCATCTTTTACTATAAAAAAGAAAAGACTATTCATTGCCATTGTTGAAATGTCCATTATCTACACAAAAATCACATTACTGATGTGTACACACTAAAGTACTGCTTGTACTTATAGTTTATACATGTTCTTTGTTGAACCTGACCAATATTCACCTCATCAAACACCTCAAGGCTCGTACCATCATCAGTACATTCTTTTTCTGTATTTCATACCATTTACTTTTATTTGTTTTTGGTTGGTATCTGCACCATTGTAGGTGTGCATGGCTGTTGTGTGATGGGTTGATGTTCAGACTGGTTGTGTCTGGGCCGCGGGTCCCTACCTTTTTCCACTTTTCTTTTTGCTGCATTAATTCTGGGTTTTTTGTGCAGTATTTGGGCTAAATTCTCTAATGGAGATAGTAACAGAGGCTGGCCCGGGGAGCGGAGAAGGTGGGTTCTGGCCTTTTTATCGAGTGAGCTGCATGCTTTTCCAGGCCAGTCAGTTACATCTCCCAGCATCTCCTCCATGTCTTTCTCCTATTTCAGTCACCGTGTGTGTCAAAGATCCAGTGAGACACTGGTCTGACCATGTTGTCTTTCATAAAATCTTTTCACCGTTCTCAAATGTTTCTTTTCTCAGTGTTGAGTTTATTTTTTCTTTCTTCCTTGAACTGTCTTTACAAAATTTGAAGTTCAGAGGAATTATTGAACAGTACTGTAGATCCACAGCTGCCAGCAGATACCAGGACAAAGTGGAGCAACATAATACAAAGCACAAAAAACTAAATGAGACTCAAAGAAAGATGGAACAAGAATAGAAAATTATAAACTAGTCTTCCAGCATCTATTGTTGTTTTCTTGTGCTTCTGTCCTCAGAATACAAAACGGGGTTGGTCTAAATCATGCAGTAATTGTTTAGAAAATAATAAGCAGTGACAGCAGTAAAATCTAAGTTGTACTTTCTTTTTAACTGCAATCAGTTTTCTTTTCAACATTTTTTGTTTCTTTCACGTGAATTAAAAATTTTAACTGCCTCGGCTTATTATAACATTGTGTTTAGTATAAATAGTATTCATCCAACCTACTCATTGTTGCTGTCATGCATGATGTCCCTAGTGTTGAGCTAAAGGCATTAGCTTCCCTCTGATTGTWAACTTCCTGCGCCTCTTTTGTGTGATACCAACACCAGGAGCATCATTTGATCTCCTTCCTGTGTGTGTCATGTCCTTGTTTGATTTGTCCTTTGTCTCTTGTTTGTAACTGTAGTAGATAACCTTCATTAGACCTTAAGTATAAACTTGCCCTCCWGAGACTAGGAAGCTTTATGTATAATGTTGCAACTTATAAAGTGTTTGCRTATTTTTCTACTCTTACAGTTCCTGGTGAGCAGGTGGTTCTTTTTTWGTTATTCTGCTGAGTGCTTTTTAGACTTGTGAACCTATAGTATGAAGGTTTTGCCTAAATACTTAGGTTTTAATGCTCCTTTAAGTTATAAAAGATCAATATTTGGTTGTTCTTCCAGGAGCACGGGCACCTCGAGCACTTGTAGACCAGAAGTCTTCAGTGATTAAACACAGCCCAACAGTGAAGAGAGAGTCACCCTCACCTCAGGGACGAGTCAACAACACAAGGTAGAGCATTTTAACAGCATCTTGAATCATTTTTTAATCTTTAATTATTAAATAAAAATCTGTGGTGATTTTTTTTTTAATTTTGTTATATGTTGTTTGTTGGAATGTATGTGCTGTGGGACAAGTACAGTTCACATAAAGTGCTGTGTAAACACTTCAATCTGTTCATTATTTCWAATACTGTGTGATTTTGATCCAGTGAGAATCAACAGTTCCTAAAAGAAGTGGTTCAGAGTGTTCTGGATGGACAAGGTGTTGGTTGGCTTAACATGAAAAAAGTGCGCCGCCTGTTGGAGAATGAGCAGCTCCGTGTCTTCGTTCTGAGCAAGCTGAACAGAGCTGTTCAGTCCGAGGAAGATGCCAGACAGGAGATCATACGTGATGTGGTAAGATACTTAAAATTCTTGGGATTAAGCATTCAGATACTAAGTTTGTACCACCAGACACCACTAATCCTCCTTGGCAAACAAAAATGGCTACAGCACAAATCGCAATCATGCATGCTTATTTATTTGATTTTTTTTTAAAGTTTGGCCAAAAAGACTAAAACTATGTTTTTATGAGACAATGCAGTTCGTTCAGGTCACATTTGTTTTGTATTTTGGTCGTTTACATCAGAGCATTTTTATTTTCCTTGTCATCATGTCAAATTTGTCAGGCAAGAACTTTTTTAACTACACAGTAAAAAAATGTAGTATTTTTGTGTATTTTCTGTCCTTTTTAAAACTATTATTAAAATAGAATTTTTTGTTGTTTGTTTGTTTGCAGGAGATAAACAGAAAGGTTTACAAAGGCATGCTGGACATCCTGAAGTGTACGGTTTCCAGTCTGGAGCACTCTTACACTAATGCAGGTCTTGGSGGCATGGCCAGTGTCTTCAGCTTACTGGAAATAGCACGCACTCATTATCAAACCAAAGGTATGTCCCAAGAGTTCAGCACACGTTATGGATATAAAGGGGATTTTTAAATTGTGGCATTTATTTTAAAAAAAAAGCATTATTCAACATTTTCAGAGCTCACTGATGGGTGCTTATGCTGCTAACACTTGTCTGTCTTTGCATTTCATTTATATTAAGCTTTATGCTGCATGGAAGACCTTAACTCACTAAAAAATTAACTGAGACTGCTATTTGTCAAATAATTTCCGTCCTCTTCCAGTTTGAATCTCTACATACTTGATTCCTCTTGTTTTGATGAACTCTTGTTTTTTTTGGCCCCTGCATTTTGGTAACTTGGTAGACCCAGAAAAACGCAAGCGAAGCCCCACAGACAGTGCTGGCAGCCCGGGGAGTAAAGAGAGTCCTTCTGGTCGTATGGAGACCGCCAGACCCCAGGTCCTCCTGAATATTCCCCAGCTGCAGCTGCCTCACCACGCAACGGGCAAAGGAGCCCGCCATTTTGATACCCGGAGTCTGAACGAGGAGAACTTTATTGCTTCGATTGGTGTGTACACCACTCAAGCCCGGTTGCATGCGCATTGTAAACCTCCCTCTCTGCCCCTGTACGAGCTCATAAACCTTATACCCCCCACCCCTTATCAGCCACCTCAAGAAAAGAACCCTTCACTGTCCCAGACAGATGTTGACAGGTGCAATTATTCCACACACTTTTAACTAAAACAAATCATTTAGGATGGCTTCGAGTTTGGAAATTATTTAAAAAGAAACGAATGATTCAGAATAAATCAAATGTATAATTGGGCCTCATTAACAAATACAAGGTTTGGAAGAGTGTCTGGAATATGTCCCTGAACCTGGATTGTGTGTGTGTTTGTGTCCCTTTTCCTTAAACATCTGTGCAGCTGTTTTGTTCCTCCTTCCCTGAGGATTTGTTGTTGGCCTCTTAGCACCTTGAATGCATGTTTCTGTTTTGTTCCTTCAGTGTGTAAATCTGCAGTAGCGGACGAGGGAAACCAGAGTTATGCGCATCGATAGTCAAATCGGTGTTCGTCTGTGCCTTTACTGCAGGTTTCTTCAAGGCGTGCTKAGAAAAAAAAATGAACTGCTCCCTTTGCTGCTGGCATGGAGGGTGGAAGCAGCCCTCCCCAGTAAACAGTCCCAGCAGAAGTTTTCTATTGGTCACTAAAGGAATGACTGGATTAAGAAACATTTGTCTTTACATCTTGATTTTCTAACATTCTGGGTCTGTTTACAGGGGACTGTTCTTAGTCTAACCACCTGCACCCCCCCCCCCCCAACCCTTTATCTACCCATTAGAAGTTGCACCTTCAATTCTACAGAATGCTGTGAGACTTGCATCCCAGCTTCTGCAACCGCTCCATTTCACTCGCTGCCATACTGGCCTCCCAACCCCATCCCACGCTCCCTTTTCTGAATCAGCTAGATCTCATTCCCAGCTTTTGCTCTGGAGAGCCAGACAAATGTGATAGATGGAATCAGGTGGCCCGTGGTCTTTCTGATGTCACTGTATGGCTCTCCGAGACTCTGCGCTGGGAGCTGTGTGTGTGTTGTAATGTTACCCGAGTAGCTGTTACACACCATGTGGATGTAATGCAGCCAAATATGTTCCTATTTTTTTCTTTAGTTTAGAACAAATCACAGCTACATGCAAACATTACAAAACACCTTCCTTCAGTAATGACCACATTTTCTTGCTTAATTTGTTTTGAGTTTGGTTTTTAGTGCTCACCCACCATACATGCCTTTTCAACCAGCTCTTTGACTCTCTCTCTGTCTTTCTCTCCTTGCTTGCAATGCATCTTGGGTAGAATTGTGGAGCAAGCACCAGGATAAGCAAAAAGCTATGGAAAAACAACAGAGTAAGACACTTTTCACACACCAAAAAAATAAAAATAAAAAGACTGGGGTGTGTAGCCGCTGAGCTTTTTCCACCCCTCCTCATCTCTACCTTTACAAACTCACTAATGTCGTCACATGTGGTAAAAAAAATACTGTATATTGAAAGTGATTAGAGTGAAAACCTTTCAAAACAGAGTAGAGACATGGTTTTGAGTTAAAAGATCGTGCTTTACTCTTGGTTCATTTTATACAGTACTACAAAGTACATTGTAAGTATTGATCCCTTATTTCTTTATATTTTGCTTCAAATCATCCAGACTTTGTCATCTATTAAAGGGGTTTTGTTCTGTATATCTTTACGCTTTCTTAAAATATTTGAAAGTTTTTCTTTGGACATTGACCACTTTTTTCACTCTCGAAATTCTAAAGAAAAACTTTAAAAGACCTTCAGAGAGAATTAAAAACAATTCATCAAACTGTGATAAAAGATTATTAGAATATCTGACTCTGTGGACTCAAAGTACAAAGATAGTTGTGGTTTAGAATTTTTGTACATTATTGTACTTTTTAAACAAAGTGAATTGAGTTTCTGGATCCTCTACATAAAGTTTTGTTTCAATTAGGCAATCTGATAACTTGAGTTTCCTAATGTTACAGATACAATGCTGTGATAAATTACTATCTTGTTTTAAAGCTTACTTCATGATCAAGATTTGAGATGTCAGCCACTCTTTATTTAACTTTATTTAAACAAAATTATAGAATGAATGGTTTACATGTGTTGGGGATCCTTGACAAAAAAATACTGTGCCTACAAGAAGTATTCACCCTCTTGAATGATTTTCTATAACTYAGCCATGGTCAACATGAACTGGCCTTTTTAACAAAACCATCTTCAGTGTCCAAGTCAGGGGTTGATACAGAAGGATTTCCAGGGCCTTAAACATCCTTAGGCGTTCTGTTTAACCCATCATTAAGAAATGGAAGGAATATAGGGCAAATCTACCAAGAGGAGACCATACTCAAAAACTGAGTGACTGTTCAAGGAGACTAGTTTAGTAATGGAGACCAGCAAGACACCTGTGACCACTTTGAAGAAGTTACAAGCTTCAGCAGGTAAAACTGATCCTTTCCAGACAGCTTCAGGTTGTCCTGCAGGACAAGTCGTATATTTTGCTACATTTATTTTACCCTCAACCTTTACAAAACTTCCAGCGTTGGCTGCTGAAAAGCACTTGATYGTAGTCTTTCACATGGCGTTTGGTAAACTCTAGTTGAGATTTAATGGGTTTTCTTCAGCTGTGGATTTCTCTCCCATAAAGCTTAGATGGGGAGGAACCCTGGTAACAGTTGTTGAATGAACTCTCTTATCTCACTTGCTGAAGCTTGTAACTCCTTCAGAGTGGTCACAGGTGTTTTGGTGGTCTCTCTCTCATTATTCTCCTTCCTGAATGGAAGGACTGTTTGTGAGAACAGCCTGCTCTTAGATTTACACATCAAATATTCCTTCCATTTTTAATGGTGGATTTAACAGAAGTCATGGGGATGTTTCAGAGCCTTGGAAATCCCTCTGCATCCCCTGACTTTTACTTTTCAACATTTCTCTGGGTTGAATTAGGACAGTAACTAAAAGGAAGTGAATATCAATGCAGTCACTTATTTAAATTATACAGTTGTATGTATTTGGCATTGTTTTGTAGAAATTAGTTTTCTCTTTCTCATTGAAGCGGTATTTTAGAAAATATTTGTTAAAAAGGTCATTCTAAATTAACCATGATTGATTTATGACCGTAACAAAAGCATAAAACATCCAAGGACGTGAATACATTTTATAGCCACTGTATACAGTGGTTTGCAAAAGTATTCATACCCCTTGAACTTTTCCATATTTTGTCACATTACAACCACAAACATAAATATATTTCACTGGAATTTAATGTGAAAGACCAACACAAAGTGGTATACAATTGTGAAGTGGAAGCAAAATTTTACATGAATCAAAACATTTTTTACAAATAAAAAACTGAAAAGTGCGACGTGCAAAAGTATTCAGCCCCCTTTTCCCTGAGTGCAACCAATTGCATTCAGAAGTTGCCTGATGACTGCTAATGACTCAAAAGGGTCCACCTGTGTGTAATCTAATCTCAGTACAAATACAGCTGCTCCGTGACGGCCTCAGATGTTGGTTAAGAGAATATTGGGGAGCAAACAGCATCATGAAGTCCAAAGAACACACCAGACAGGTTAGGAATATGGTTTTGGAGAAGTTTAAAGCAGGCTTAGGTTATAAAAAGATTTCCCAAGCTTTGAACATCTCACGGAGCACTGTTCAATCCATCATCCAGAAATGGAAAGAGTATGGCACCACAGTAAACCTGCCAAGACAAGGCCGTCCACCTAAACTTACAGGCCGAACAAGGAGATCACTGATCAGAGAGGCAGCCAAGAGGCCCATGGTGACTCTGGATGAAATGCAGAGAGCCACAGCTCAGGTGGGGGAAACTGTCCACAGGACAACAATTAGTCGTGCACTACACAAATGTGGTCTTTATGGAAGAGTGGCAAGGAGAAAGCCATTGTTAAAAGAAAACCATAAGAAGTCCCGTTTGCAGTTTGCCAGAAGCCATGTTGAGGACACAGCAAATGTGGAAGAAGGTGCTTTGGTCAGACGAGACCAAAATTGAACTTTTTGGCCACAATGCAAAACGCTATGTGTGGCGGAGAAAGAACACTGCACATCACTCTGAAAACACCATCCCCACTGTCAAATATGGTGGTGGCAGCATCATGCTCTGGGGGTGCTTCTCTTCAGCAGGGACCGGGAAGTTGGTCAAAGTTGATGGGAAGATGGATGGAGCCAAATACAGGGCAATCTTGGAAGAAAACCTGTTGGAGTCAGCAAAAGATTTGAGACTGGGGCGGAGGTTCACCTTCCAGCAGGACAACGACCCTAAACATAAAGCCAAAGCTACAATGGAGTGGTTTAAAAAAAAGAATATTCATGTGTTAGAATGGCCCAGTCAAAGTCCAGACCTAAACCCAATTGAGAATTTGTGGCAAGATCTCAAAACTGCTGTTCACAAACGCTCTCCATCCAATCTGACTGAGCTTGAGCTGTTTTGCAAGGAGGAATGGGCAAGAATTGCAGTCACTAGATGTGCAAAGCTGGTGGAGACATACCCTAAAAGACTTGCAGCTGTAATTGCAGCAAAAGGTGGCTCCACAAAGTATTGACTCAGGGGGGCTGAATAATTTTGCACATCGCACTTTTCAGTTTTTTATTTGTAAAAAATGTTTTGATTCATGTAAAATTTTGATTCCACTTCACAATTGTATACCACTTTGTGTTGGTCTTTCACATTAAATTCCAGTGAAATATATTTATGTTTGTGGTTGTAATGTGACAAAATATGGAAAAGTTCAAGGGGTATGAATACTTTTGCAAACCACTGTATATCCGTTTTCTCTTATAGTTTATGGCTTAAGCTTAAGCAAAATGTAATTTTGTATAATAGTGTTCTAATTTTTTTCTTCGTTTTTCCTGCAACCATGCATCAAAAAACAAACAAACCTGAATACACACTGATTGCACTGTCCTGCGCTTTTTTTAACTGTACTTTTTTCCAGTTTCAAGTGGCTTGGAGTAAATTTTGTTCATAGTTGCTGATGCACTAAAGGCTTCATGAAGTGGTTCAGTTAAATGTCACGGAAAGTGAAAACCAGATGGACGTTGTAAGAAAAGTACGCGTCACCAAATGTCCACCCACGGAGATGAGAAAATGTCACACTTGAAACAGAAAATGTCTCCTTTACCAGCCATGAGTTTGTCTGCATGCCTAACTGCCTGTGTCTGTTTGCTGTTCTTGGTGTAAATTGGACCACATTTGCAACATTGACTGGTTATTAATGTCATGCTCTTGCTTTTTTTTTGTCTGTAATGTTTTCCCAATTGCAGTGTTTACCACTCTATGCTTGCCTCTTTGTCTCTTCTGTCTGATCTTTAAAAAAACTGAACTTGCTAAGAACCTCAGTAATGCATATAAATCTTAAAGGTGGAAAAAATCCTAAATTAAGTGCCTTACTTTTCTTGAACTTTATATTATTTTTCCTGCATTTTGAGATATTATCAGCTTAGAATCTTAAATGTCAGAATCGTCTCTGAGCTCCAGTAAAGCTAGTGGTAGTGTGCTTCACCATGCACCCGTACAGTATAGACAGGGTTTAAGAGGCTTTGGCACTTCAGATGATATAATGTGGGAGTTTCTGTGCTGTGCTGGCTTTGAGCGAGGCGGCTCTCAGTAAGGTAAGGAGATAATGTAGATGTGTCGATGAACACTTGCTGAGTAATGCGTGTTTTGCAGGGTCTGAAGGAGGAAAGCAGCAGCGCCCGCAGGCGGCTGACGCAGAGGAGAAAAAGTCACAGATCAGTGCTGATAGTGGCCTCAGCGTTGCATCAGGGTCCCAGGTTTGTACAATTAGGTGGTGGTGTGGGAAAACCTGTTGCTGTTGTCACGTTGCTCATTTAATAAATGGGAGTACTTGTCTGATTTCGCTGTTGGAATGTTAGAAATTAGATGCAAAGGTTCATGTTTACCTCTTCATCCCTGGTTGACAGAAGAGTGACACGGAGTCTGCGACCAGCTCAGAGCCACTGGTCCTGACGAGAAGCACCAGCCAGGACTCCGAGGCCAGCACAGTGGTAGGGCACGGCCAACTCAGACATCACACACTTCATATCCGTTCTTGTCTGTTTAATGCATCGTATGTGAAGTTATAATTTATCTATTTTCTTCCTGTCATCGCATGTTGGATTAAATTTGTAAATAAATGTTTAAATAAAATATGTGCACTAGATGTGAGGAAACAGAGTCACATAAGGAAATGAATTTAGATGATTAAAAATATCTTCAGTTTAACCCAAGTTATCAGTTACTTTGTATGATTTATGTTTTCAGTTTGTAATGATTTTTAGCCTCAAATTTCCCAATGTGTTTTCCTTACTTCGATGTTTAAACTTGTAGATAAGTAACAGTTCTGGAGAGACTCTTGGAGCTGACAGCGATCTGAGCAGCACAGCAGGAGATGGTCTCGGAGGGAGAATTGCTCCTCATTTGACTCAGTCCAGAGGAACTCTGTCCGACAGTGAGATTGAAACCAATCCAGCCACCAGCGCAGTGTTTGTAAGTCAAAACAAGCAAATCCTCTCCTTTAAACAATATCTAGTTTGAGCTGAAAATACTGATCATAAAACAGCCTCTTTATAACTTTAAACTTGGTAGTCTGTTAAACACGTACAGTGGAAGTCTGTGGAGTTACTTTGAACTCTCCTGTTGCAGAACAAGTTTATTGTTCAAGAAAATAATTCGTGCTTTCTTTTGCTGAGAAAAAGCTCAGTGGGCACTAAGCATCTTGTTCCTCATCTTCACAGTAGCTCTTGGAAACAAATTGATAAAATAGGGCTTCTCAAACAACGGAAACACGAGGTCTCTCTGACAACTACACTGATTGATTCTGTTTTGAGTATGAATTGTCCATGAGAAAAATACTCTCTTAATTTCTGAGAGCAAGCTCCAACATCTCACATCTAAAAGTATAGTGAAGTCTTAACATGGTTTTTCAGTAGTAAATAATGCTGAAGTCAGCAGTAAATTATATTGGGTAAAGCTTAACTTATTCAGTTTGCCTATATTATTCATATGAGTTTTTAACTATGGATCATTTGAAGCAGCTGGCCAAACTATAATCCATCATTCCAGGAAGACACTTTCAGGCGGTAATCTATTCCTATCTCACCATCCGGCTGGATTACTGTAACACACTTTACCTGGAGGTTAGTGGGTCCTCCACTGACTGACTGCAGAGGGTACAAAACACTGCTGTGGGTCTTATAGCTAGCACACACAAAAAACATTACGCTGCCTGTACATTTTAGGGTCCATTTTAAAAATTGCTTTTAAAAACTAAATGGCCCTGCCCCACCCTACCTTTACAAGCTGCTACACTCTTACACCCCCACTCGCTCTCTCAGATCAGCTGAGCAGCTGCTCTCGATGGTTCCCAAAATGAAGCACAAACTCAGGGATTGCGCTTTTCTCATAGCAGCTCCTAAAATGTTGAACTAGCTGTCTCTTCACTGTCTGTCTTTTAAATCTCTTTGTAAACCCACATTTTTTCTTAGACATTTACCTCTGAGTTGATCTGATGTACTGTCATTTTCTCTGATCGTATTTAGGCCTGTCACGATAACAAATTTTGCTGGGTGATTAATTGTCTCACAAATTATTGCGATAAGCGATAATATTGCCTGGTGACCATTTTACAACTAATAATTATAAAAGCGTAATGTGTAAGTGTAATAAATCAATAAACTTTAATTTTTAAAGAATGTTTAACCAAGTGGACTCTCAGTC